CCTACCTAACTAATGAATGAATACTTGTTGTACAATTATTATTAATGCTATAAAATGTAGCTACCAATTTGGCCGTCAGTTTTGATTTCATTACTGTAAGTCTCACACTGAATCCCCTTTTTTTTTCGGCCGCACCTTTGTTTCACATCTAAGGTGTTTTTGATTAGATATCATGAGTATTTGTCAATACACACCAACAAACCATAGCAAGTAAGAAAGTGACACTCGATAGTAACCAACATTAGCTTTACGATCGCAACCCTATTATTCGGATCAGACCTATACTTTACAGAACCAACCAGATTCTTTAAAAATATATTGTGGTAGTTTTCCTCTCTAAAACAGTGCTTTGCTTATAGTAACGCCATGGAATTTAGATTAACAGTTTTTGTCATCACCCCATGCAATCGGTACAGCCGTATCAAGCATCATCATTTACGCCAATAGCTTAGGCTAATATAACTTTACGCTAAACGATTTTTAATTAGGAGAATTTCATAAAATTTAGTGAATTTGTACTGAAAAGTTGAACATCCACTGAAAATATATGGTAGTTTGGATTAACACAGTCCGAGCTACAGAAAGTGGAAAATCGCTAAACTATCACTTCTGTTAAGAACACACGGTGTATCCTGTAGGTTGTTGTTTTTTCGACTGCACACTGCCACGTGTCTTGATTTCTTATTTATAAGTCTATTTTATTAATAAAATTGTTTTTATGTGCACGAGTTTAATACTCTTTATTGGACATTGTTTATGATTGGTTAGTTAAAAATAACATAATACTGTTGGCTGAAGTTATTATTCGTGTTGAAGTGGTTTTGTTAGATGTGAAAAATGAAACTGTGAAACAAAATCGAAACAAAAGCTCGCTGTATTAATGGCACAGACTATATTTTCAAACTTAGAAACACGTGCGGTAAAACATGAATTTTTATTATACTTCTTTCACAGTCAACTCGCCTGAAACAACTTATAAGGTCTGATTAACTTCGTTCGAGTCTGGTTTTAAAATTCGCCTCAGAGTATAGAAATGTGAAACTTTGAAATATCTGAATTAGCATACTCCACGAATATCCTTTTTACTTTCATTTTGTAGAGGCTTACGCACAAACACATACATATATAGATATTCTATTGGACATACAACCATCAACCAGTAGACAGTAGTTTATGTACTGTATTACTGACGGGAGAGCAAGGAGCTTAGTGAAAACAATGAAAGAGGACCGTTTAGAATTCCCAAGATGCAGTGCACTTCAGTGTAACATCAAGAGTTGAAACTATAAAGATGCTTAATTAAATCTGAATAAAGGTTAATTTAGAAGCTAGATCGACGCTTTTAAATCTTAACTTTTTACGCGAATTCCAACTCTAAACTTCACTCCCTAGTGTATTGTTTTAAAGTACTTCAACAATAAAATATAAATAACTTCGTCATATACAATATACAAGTATTTTACATGATACAAAATGTTATATTATACAGTATTATGCAAGTATCCTACATGATGTAAAGTATACTACATGATGTACAAGTATACTACATGATGTACAAGTATACTACATGATGTATAAGTATTCTACATGATGTACAAGTATACTACATGATATACAAGTATACTACATGATGTAGAAGTATACTACATGATATACAAGTATACTA